TGGTCCCTGTGCTTTGCGAAGCTTGTTCTAAATAGGTGCTTTAGACCACTGAGCCATCTCACCAGCCCTTTTTTTTTTTTTTTTTTTTGAAGAACTGGGAATTGAATGCAGGCCCTTGCACATGCCAGGAAAGCCCTTATTCTACTGAGCTATCTCCATGGCCCACCTGTGAGCATTCTTAATGAAACTTTGGAGTCTTGACCTTGAGAGTAATGTATGAGGTGTGTTTAAGCCAAACCCTGGATACACGGAGTCCAAGGTTTCATGTATCTGGAATAGTTTTTAGTTCACTTGCCTGATTATTAAGATTCAGTATGTCTAACATTGGGAGTTGCAGGGAAGAACTGCTGTACCCCTACACCTGCTTCATTCCTCAATCTCACATTTCTCACTGGATGCCTTTTCATTAAATTTCAGCAATATCAGAAATGGACACACTTCTGTTACTTCTTATTTTTAAAATGTATTTAGTACAGGGTCTCACTATACAGGCTGGACTCATAGTGATTCTCCTGCATTCAGCCTCCCAAAAGCTGGGATTGCAGGCATGCACCATCACGCCCAGCCTCAATCCCTGTCTCAGCGTGCCCCAGGGGGCAGGGCTGGCACAGCACGCCAGGGATCGAACTCAGATCCCTGTGTCTGCCTAAGCAGTCACTAATCTGCTGAGCTATCTGGCCGGCCCTTCTCTTCCTTCTTAGCACTAACAGAAGATTCAATGGGACAAAGAAAAAATTTTGTGTTCTGTCTGCTTTATATATTATTCATATTCAGTAATCATATTCATTTGGACTCTTCCATGTGGTAGACATACAATATCACCTTTTCCCTTTAAAAAGATATAGTTTTATGCAGCTGTTTTGTTTTTTGCCAGGGTATTTGGCATCTGTCTTCCCAATTTGTTGTCTCTCAGATATATCTGAACAGTTTTGAAAAATATAATCTTGAGTCTCTTGGTCTGAGGTGAGACTCTGTGAGGACTCATTGGTGTCTCTGTGTACCACGGGAGAAAGAGCAGCAGGAATGAGGAAAAAATAGACAAGAGCCAAGAGCTGACTCAGGTTGTACCTTATCTGCCTGACTGGAAAAAGACCCAACCAACAAGAGTAGGGGTGTTTATTTATACCTTTGCAAAGTTACTATCAGGAGAACAAGAGTGCCTAGCGACTAATAGGGGAAACTGACCAGGCAGTATGCTTTTTTGTTTTTGAAGACTGAGGTAGCTTGACTGCTTTAGGTGCTCTGGCCCCACATAGGATCGATTTCTGGCTTCCTAGCTCCCAGCAAGACTCCAGCAGGGTCTCTCCTTCCAAAGCTGTATCAGTGAATGTGATGATCAGCTAGGCTTGGGAACCAATACAAAGAATGTGTGTCTGAGTCCTCAAGGCAAGCCCAATGCTGGTGTTTTGCTGGGTAGATTCATGAGGCACAGCATGTAGTTATAGAGATGGTTGAGTTATTATAGTGAAAAGATCCACAGCACAATCAGAAAAAGGAAAAGGGATATGGGAGGAAGCTTAGAGGAAACGGCATGAGTCCAAGAGTTTTTCCCCTGAAGAATCACCCAGGATGTGCTTAATTTCTTCAGCACATGACAACATGTAAGAATTGATGACTCCCAAGGAGCTCACTAGAACTCAGTGACCAAGACTTTTTATTTTTTGCATTTAGTACAGGGTCTACAGGGTCTCACTATGTAAAGTGGATTCATAGTGATCCTCCTGTTTCAGCCTTCCAAGTGCTGGGATTATAGGTGTGTACCACCACACCCAGTCTCAATCACCATCTCAGTGTGCCTGGGGGTGGGACTGGCAGGCAGACTTGGAAATCAGACCCCTGACCCTCTCTTCACCCCCCCCCTCCCGTGTCTGCCTAAGCAGGCAATTTAATCCACTGAGCTATTTGGCTGGCCTCAAAGACTTTGAGGAAGAGTCATATAGGCAATCTCTACCTACAAAGTATCAAAATTCTAGGCTCCAGAAAGAAAGCTGGTGTTCAACATAAACCACCTTGTTTCTTCAAATAATTTAGGCACATTAGGCTATTCTGTCAGTTCAGGAATGATGGGAATCCTCCCCAAATCCAAATTCTCAGATGCCAGCCAGGGCCAACTTTTAAAATGGCTGTGGATAGCAATCTCCAACCTGTGATAGTATCTATTTTCCTACATAGTTACTGATAAACGATAAAATATAACCTTTTTTAGTTTCAATGTATGTTAACTACATTTCTGTATTAAGTTGGATATGGAGACTCAAGCGATAAAATACAAAATCCTATTTTTTGATCTTAACAATAAAAATCACGGGGCCCAGGGAGATAGCTCAGTAGAATAAGCACTTGCCTGGCAAGCGCAGGGCCCTGAGTTTAATCCCCGGTACCACAAAAAAATAGCAAATAAATAAATAAAATAAAAATCACCTGACTTCATTTGAATAAAAGCATTCCATGAATAATGGATATAGACCACTCAACTCTCCAAGATCTTTTGGCAATTGGCGCTAGTCTTCACTTAGTGAAGTGTCTTGCTTGCAAATTCCTATACCCTCGAAGATCACAGAAATATTGGACATACATGTAACTATTAATTTACTTTTAATGGTCTGTTTCATTTTCCAGTTTACCAAATAGATTTTTTCCTCTAATTTTTGGAAAGGTATGATTAAAAGTCATAAAATTGGATGGTTAAGATTTTTTTTTAAATATTTATTTTTATTTATTACATTTATTTATTGTGTGTGTGTGTGTGGCCAGCTCAGCCCACCAGGGGGCGGGGCTGGCTGGCATGTGGTGCTGGAGGATCGAACCGAGGTCCCTATGCTTTGCCAAGCTTGTTTCAAGTAGGTGCTTTAGACCACTGAGCCATCTCTCCAGCCCCTGGATGGTTAAGATTTGTAGCACACCCAACTCATTTAAAACTGGATGACATGATTCTATTTCATGTCTCCAAGAAGAAATTATCATTATGAAGCTAAACTTCTAGTGAGGTTCCATGGTGTAATGGTTAGCACTCTGGACTCTGAAGCTAAACTTCTTAGGCCACTGGGAATATTTTTAAGCATTCATTTATATGTTAAGAATATTTTTAGTACTTAATTTTTGGCATTCTGAGGCATCTCCTTCCATTTACAACCTCCCGAGTTTGCCTACTAGAATAGAACCATTTGCTTTTAGACAAATGATGGCACAACCAGAAGGAAGAGGTTACAACGGGAAATTTCCAAATAGAATATATGGATATTTCTTCTTCATTTAACTTGTATATTTCCTTGCTTCTAATAATTAGGCTGAGGCTGGGGAGATAGCTCAGTAGAATAAACGCTTGCCTGGCAAGTGCTAAGGGCCTGAGTTCAATCCCTGGTTCCACAAAAAAATGAGTGTCTGTTCATGCCAAAGACAGGAAAATCATTAAAAAAAAAAAAAAAAAAAAAAATTGACTTTTTCCTGATGTTCATTTATGTCTATTTATATTTACTGTGTTCACTGCTTTTGGTGATGAGCTGAATAGCACGTCCCTTGTGCAAAATCTTCTTTGAACCTAAGAAGGGTGGCCATCATTTCTTAGCTCTCCTTTTCCAGGTGCAAAACCTTATTCTTATTGGAGATTTCCATTGTTTTAATCACCTCTGTCATTTTTCTTTCTTTTTCTATGTATCCTTCTTAAAAGTGAAAGCCAAATTTGGTCTCAATGATTACGCAGACCTATTATCCGCCATTATGTATGTAAACTCCTTACAAAAACTAAATTATACATAATTGTATATTTTAAACTGTAAATTACATATTTTAATTTCATTTTAAAATAAAAATAGATAAAACAAGTATTTAATTTGATCTTTCTTATTGTCATTGATATGATATAAACTACATTGATAATGTATTAGAGTGTAATTCTGTGTACGTTGAGTAAATTTTTAAAACGTGCGATTTAAAAAGCAAAGATCTTTGGTAGTAAATGTATTATGGAGGGATAAAAATTCACTATGGGCCAGCAGGTGAGAAGAATGGCTTTCCACATGTAAAAGCAATATACAGCCCTGAGAAAGGCTCATGTTTTGATCCTGAATGTTGTACTCCCTGTACACACATCACTATTCTTGCTTTGCAGTGAAAGCTCATACAGTTCCCTTCTTCTAATGATATTTTCCTGCATTGCCTACTCATTTTCAGTTTGTGGTCAACATCATCTCAAACTTTTTCTATAACTTGAAATGACAATTTAGTTATTTAGTCGTTGTTGAATGCTTTTATATTTGTGTAATTCCTTATATTGAGACTATTACTATTCTGAATACCAAGGTAATTAAAAATTGTATTTCCATAAGTTAGATTATTCTTGGTTCCCACCCAGCTTTGTGTCCTTGGAAAATTCAATGAGTTATATTTTCACCCAAGAAACAGATATCCTAAATAAAGTGAGTCCTGGGACTTCTGGATAGGTGGGGTATATGGAACAAATCTAGAATATTAGGAGTTTTGACTGATAGCCCTAATGGTGTAGTAGCCTATATAAAAGGCAAAGAGATAAAAAAAAAAAAGTCTAGAGATTGTTTACTCTCAAAAGCTTATTCTATAACACTATCATTCCCTAAAAGCAAAAAAGAATTCCATAATAATATAGAAAGTTTAGAAGAGAATCTGTTATATTTTTTGACATTACCAAGCCCAGTTGTTCAATTTCAAGGCAGTACAAAGATATCAAAGAAAAACATCACTTATGTCTTTTGAATTTGCTATTTCCTGTATAGGAAACAAGAATGAATAAATGTGTGTGTGTGTGTGTGTGTGTGTGTGTGTGTGTGTATTTCTCTGTGTGTGTGTTTCTCTCTCTCTCTCTCTCTCTCTCTCTCTCTCTCTCTCTCTCTCTCTCTCCCTCTCTCTGTACATATGTGTGCTGTTTGGAATGAAGGAACATGAGGATGGAGAAGTTGGCGTATAATGTATACTTTTCCACTGGGGCATTATTACACGTGTTACACAGATTACCACTTGATATCATGAAGAGCTATTAAAGGTGTATTTATTTCACAGTTTCATAGCTTTATAATGATCCTTATATAATAGCTTAAATGAGGTTTCATAGCATATATATTTTTAATTTTTTAAAAAAATCACAAATATAATTGAACCACTCAACCACATTCCACCGCTTTTAATTCCACTTCCCATGAGAAACATTGTGTTAAAAGGTGAAGTGATCAAACCTATAGAAACTGAATTGTGATAAATATAATTGCAAAAGGGATGAGGGCCTAAGGATGCAGAAAACTAAGGAAAATAAATGAGTTTTTAAAGCTGTGGCTTACTTCTGTGAGGAAGGGTAAGGCTGGACATTCAAGAGAGAAGGAAACAAAGAATGGAAGAGTCAGTTCTTTTAAGATGATTGAGACTAAAATGGAAGCCTTTTCCTGGCACACCCACAAATCACCACATTTGCTGCTTTTGGCTGAGGCTGGCCCTGAAGCCAAGGGAGACAAACTTGTATTAGGGTGAGACTGCTGTATTACAGAAGGCAGCTCATGGGCAACCTGCACGTGTGTTCTGCATCTTGTCCCACTGTCATTCAGAGGGCTCAGAGCTAGTATGCTTCTCCTCATGCAAGATGAGCTACTCAAAGTAGTCCAGTTCGAAGACCTGAGTATATAAGCAGGGCTAAATCTACCTGAGTTAAGTCACTTTAACTTAGGAACCACAGCTTGGTCTCTAATAAACATCATTCTTGGTCATTAGGGCATAGAATTAAAGTTCTGCCTGGAAAGATGCAAAGAATTTGCTGCTGGCAAGACATTTCTTTGTGTTAGAATATTAGAAACAGCAGAATAACACAGGATTCTCTGGCTGTGCCCATCTGGTACTTTAGTATTTTCCCAGTATGTGAGTGAAGATAGTAAATGATTGTGATCCTGTAAGTCCTTATGTGATAGACCATATCAAGACTCCTAGAATAAGTGAAACAAATTCCTCCATTTCCATTCTTGATGTGCGAGAAAAGGTTTTTACATTGTTTACTACTAACGTGCACATCCTAGTGAAGAGAAGTAAAGCCCCAAAGGCCTTACAGTCTTGGGAATCTATTCTATTTTAGAAAGAAGGAATTTACGTTTTAGAATGATCATTGGTCCACTAACATTTTATTCATTTACATTTGACTTTTCAAGGATAGGACTGACTGGAACTTGAGGATAATTCTACTGTGGTATTAAATAATGCTCTTTATTAAAAACTCACTGTGGTATTGAGCTGAGTGTCAGTGAATTGACACAAGCACACATCCCATTTTAATTAAAAATAAAAATTAGAAATGTTGCTCCCTAAATAGACAATAATGAACTTTATAAATACTCCAGAGTTTTGGTAAATAGTTTGTAGGACTACTTGAGTGGCTTTTGTATGACTTAGCAATAACCCCCGACACATGAGGAATACTCAGAAGATATGGTGTTTTCTTTCTCATGTTTTATGTGAGGTAAATGCAGACCAGGGAACCACTGGGCAAACAGTCACCTCGAGTGTGTTTGTAGCCCTGGGATCCATGAGGATGTCCTTCATAAAGGTGAAAGAGGATTGGGCTGATCCTTCTCTTATAAAATCCTGTACTTCTAGAAATTCTACAAAACTTAGAATCTCTAATGGTTGCAAGTTCATTCTTTGTAGGAAAATGCTTAGATATTATTTTAGCCATTTGTAGCACCATAGGGTTGTAGTGTACACTTGGTGTAAAATATAATTGACATCATTACCTTGTTGTGCTGAAGATCTGTGGCATGCAAAAGTCCAACATCACTTCAAAAATACATGTAGTATGCCCAGTAAAATACATTGGCTAACATAAAAATCAAAGGAAACAGGAGTTTAGAATATCGATCAACATTGCTGGGGTTTTGAATTGTGAAGTAATCAACAATCCTGCCCATCTTTTCTCTGAAGACAAACTTGAACTTGTCACTGGTTTTCATTGTCAAGTTGCTATAGTCAACGTTATCACCAGAAATTTCAATGGTGGCAAAGCTGATCTTCCGTTTAAAACTGGAGATGGAGCTGTTGATGATGTTAGTGATATTGACTTCTTCTGCTCCTTTCACCTTCCCCTAGTCCATAGACAATGTAATTAGCATGGAAAACTTGACTTGACAGAATAAATAAGTACATAATGAGCTAATGAAAAGTTTAGAGGCCTAAGTATTGAGCAATTAGGTTTAATAAAGGGTGACACTGAAAATCTCAAGAACAGCCTAGTAAGGCAGACTTGCAGTCCTGTTTTTCTGTTTGCAGCATCTGTAAAGCCCCAGTATGTAGGGTGGAGAGAATAACACTGCCCTCTCTAGACATGCAGCTCTCTAGACATGCAGGACAGTGTGCTAAAATAGCAAATGCTCAGCTTACAAAGTTGGCTTTAATTCTACCTGGTTTCACTTTTATGAAAATCAGGTTACCGTAATCCTTTTAATATTTGCTTTCTTTGCCTGCAAAATGGTGATGATATTAATGTCTACCTCATGAGATTGATGGAAAGAGTAAATGGTATAAATGGTGACATTCTGGTCTATTCCAGAAAGAGGGCAATAACTGATTATGACACAGAATACAAGTCAGCTGTGTCATGAGGTCTTTGACTAACAAGTAGGCATAGGGGTGTCCCCTAGAATTCTCGAGGGTTGTCATTCTCCAGAATGGTGAAGGCGATACAATGTGAAAAGTGCAATAATGCTAGAAAGAATGTGGCTCAGATTTTTGGCCAGGCTATTTATTATGAATGGGGTATTGGATGAATTAGCTCACTTCTCTGAATGGCAGATTTCTTGATAGTAAACTGAGGATAGTATTTGTACCCATTTCATTCTGTTGTTGGGTGGACTAAAATAGATATTGCTAGGTATCTAGGATACAGCAAGTACTCCACAGTCCAGCAGTATTTCTACAAAGAGCAAGATAAGACTTTTTGGAGCCTTCAGCAGACGATCTTAGTAGTTCTCTAAATCCCCTTTTGACAATCTGGTAAATATAGATTTGGGATATAATTAAACTTTTTTTCTTCTCCCTAAGAGAGCTTGTAGGGAGTAAATAAATAAAATTCATATTTTTTATTCAGCTGGTATGCATGTTCATATGGCTTTGGTGTTTGGATAATAAGACTGTGTTAAGCACTTTTCACAATAGCCAAACACAAGGGAAAAGAAATGTTTTGGGCCATTGCCATCCTTCATTTCCTTGCTACTAGATTCAGTATAGTCCTAGCACATTGCTAAAGCTGGAAACCTATTCTGCACTGAGTCCGTATTGTTTTCTTGCTTGTTACATTTAGCTTTAGCCCACTAATATTGATCAAATTTTGCTTCTGAATAACCCCAGGGCTCCATAGGGCTATAAAGAGTAATAGTTAAGAGGATGGTTCATTGGTTCCCTGTAAAAAGGAATAAAGTAAGGGCCTGCAATATAGCTCAGCAGACTAAGTGCCTGCTTAGGCAAGAGTAGGGATGGGCGTTTGATTCCCTACACCACATGCAGCTGGCCTCACCCCCAGGAGCTCTGAGCTTGCCACTGAGACTGGGCATGATAGCGCATGCCTGTAATCCCAGCACTGGGGAGGCTGAAAACAGGAGGACTGCTAGGAGTCTAAGCTATGTAGTGAGATCCTGTACCAAATACATTTTTAAAAAAGGAATGAAGTGTAAGGATTTAGAGCCAAGAAGTTTTAGGTTAGGATCCCAGCACTGTGTCTTAATATATGTGTCTCTCTGATGCTACCTACCCTCTTGTTCCTTAAATTCTACAACTGAGAAAATGGAAATAACTTCACTGGGCTGTTATAAGCATTTAAAATGGGTATAGTATTTGCAAAAGGCTTGTTACTATGTCTGTTGCATGTAAATTGTAAATAAATAATAACCATTATTTGTTCTGAGAGCTGGACCATGATGCTTTACTCTTAAATAATGAGTCTCTCCCAACAAGCAAAGAAATGTGGCAGCTGAGAAACTTCATACAATTTAATTTTCTTCATACAGTTTTTGGTAAATCTCTACTAAGAAAATATAATGCAATAACTGAATTAAATAGGAATTAGGTATTAATCTGAAACTTTTTAAAAAATGTATGTAGTACAAGGACTACAGCGTCTCACTACAGATTGGACTTGTAGTGATTCTCCTGTTTTCAGCTTCCCAAGTGCTGGGATTACAGTCGCGCATCATCATGGTCAGTCTCAATAGCTGTCTCAGTGTGCCCCAGGAGTGGGGCAGGCATGGCACACCAGGGATTGAACCTGGTCCCTGTGTCTGCCTAAGCAGGCTCTTTAGTTTGCTGAGCTATCTGGGCTGCCCTTAATCTGAAACTTATAAATAGCTGATCATGTTTGATTTAATATTGGATTTGTCATGGACACTTGTACTTGTGGTTATAATTTTATGTAGACAACAGTTAGTTTCTGCCAGAAAATTAAATGTATTAATTTTCATTGTATTTGGTGAAGCAAATGGCCTTTTTCAAAGGTACCAGGCTTCCAGATGTGTCCACATGAGCAAAGATGAGACACACCGGACCAAAGTGAATCACTGGGGGACAGCAATCACATTCAGCACTTAGTGCAAGTGACGGATGATAGACGAGGTCCTAAAAGTTCTTACCCTATCTTTGGCTGCCATCTGCTGTAAGGAGCTGTAGTGAGCAACAGCATATTCCAGTAAGGCTCCAAACACGAAGCTAAAGCAGATCCCCAGGTACACGTCAATGGCCTTTATGAAGCAGTTGGTGTTGGGAAGAGATGTGCGGGACCCGATCATCAGTGTGGTCATTGATAACACAGTGGTCACTCCTGGGGAGATGGGCAGGAAATATTCGCATATTGGTGGCCAGTTAACCCTTCCCCTTGTCTCCATTCACAAGCATACAAGGTGAAGACAAGACTCAGAGATGGAAAAATCTCTCATTCTGAAAAATCAGTGACCTTCTGGAACAGGATTGATTTGTACATTTTGTATACTTACGAGCTATGTAGTTTTCTAAATGCTTTGCCTTTTATCTTCTCCTTAGAGAGAAGTCAATAGAGAAAACAACAGACAATGGACCATAGAGTCACAAATTCTCTTTTATGTGCCACAGTAAAACAAGTTTGAAAAGGCAGTACTCCTAAAAGTAGTCTCTCTTTCTATGTGAAAGAATCTCTTAAGAAACACTTAGAATTTTCCTGTTGATATCAATGAAAATAATGGTGTAAAGAAAAAATATATAATCTGCTAACCCAGATCCTAGTAATCACACATTTGATCTTCTTACCAATGCAGGTTCTTGCGGGCACAGAATCAAGGGAGATCCAAAATGAAATCCAGGATAGCACCACCAGGAAAGTGGAAGGAACATAGGTTTCCAAAATGAAATACAGGACATTCCTTCGAAGCTCAAATTGCAAGACCAACCGTGTATAATTTCCTGAGAGGGCACACAAGCAGATGAAATCATGTCTGTTCATGCAGTGGCATTGTAGTTACCTGATGGAATGGTTTCATTGTACCATAGTCATATTAAGCCCTCTGTTATTCCCCACAAATCTAGTTAAATAGGATCTGTCCTTTTCACAAATGACTTGCTGTTGTGTGCAATGGGGTTCACAGGGTGCTGCCCTTCATCCACGCTCTTCTTTTTATGCTTTTCTCTAGCATAAGATTCCTCCAGTCTTGTAATCCATGGATTTCCTTGGTGTCTGCCTCACTAGACAATGAGTGTCACCCATGGGGGTAGGCTCTGCCTCTTACAGTTCTGCACTTACAAAATAATTGTGTAATAAATATCTATTTAATGAAGATTGCCTGAGACCCTTCCTTTTTCAAGATTACTGTGGAATGGACCTAATAGACTTACTAAATATAATTTAATTTCTGATGATTCCAGAGGTATTCTGGATCTTAAGGTACTTCAGGACCATCTTTAGGAAATTACCAATGTATCTTAGATGTGGATATCAGAACCAGTAGAGACCTGTCGGTAATTCTGTATGACAAATAGGCCATTGTGGCACAAAACATGGACCATGGACTCAAGCACCAAGCTCTGGTGCCACAGTGTTTCTTGGAGGAGCAGGTGAGCTGGCCACAGACAGAGCAGTAATGGCCATTTCAGGCTGGTGAGATAGTGAAGGGGTCAGCCTCTAGGAACAGAAGCCTGGCTCAGAAGAGAGGAGAGGAAAAATAGGAGAGTAAATGAAGCCATGATCTCATAAAATATCTGCAGAAAGAAACATTACTAGAGAAATACAAAAGTATGTAATTTCAGGGCTTGATGGGATTCCACAGAGATCAGAGTTTAGTATTTTACTTTATTGGTGAAGCAATGGAGACTCAAAGAGTTTTTAGTGACTTGAATAAGGACATGTAGTTGATGTTAGAAGCAAGATTAAAAGCCCTATATTTTGCTTTTTGGTCCAGGGATGTTCTACTGGTCAATACTCTCTGTTTTAATACTTTGATTTTGAAAATCAATTTTGAGTTGGGCATAATGACTCAGGTCTATAATCCCAGCATGCAGGAGGCTGAGGCAGGAGAATTGCTGTAAGTTCAAGGCCAACCTGGGTGACATAGTGAGTTTAAGACCAGCCTACCTCAAAAAACAGAACAACAAAAAAAGTCAATTTTGTACGAAACACTTAGAGCCAATATTTGATTAAATAAGGACTCTCTTTTGTATTTAAAGTAGATACATGCTACCTGTAATTACATAATTTGGACATCTGAAGCAATATTTCTGCATAAATACAAATTGGAAATTCAGAGTTGGTAAATGATCATAATATAAGTCCAGTTTAACAAACTTTTTTTAAAAAATAAGGTGTATTCATTCATCCATCCATTATTTTTTTTATCCATCCATTATAAAAGTAATGAAAGCTAATTGCTTACATTTAGGAAAACAACAAAAAGAGAAACAATCACATTTCCTTCTAATCTTTTTTCAATGTATAGTCTTTAGTTTCTAATTTTTATTCACGATCTTGGTATATGTATGACTTTTAATGTCATCTAGGATCAACTAGAGTTCATGATAATTTTTCAGGCTAAAGATATTGTTGAGGACAGGTATTTTTAAAATATTATCATGAGAAATGGGAAGGAAATATCAATTGCTTATCTATGAAACTGTATCATTTAGATAATACCTATCTAAAAGCACTAAAGACTAAAAGATTCAACTCTGGGAAATGACATGAACAAGTAATTCTTCCTGCCAAGCTTACAATAATTAGGTGTTCATGCTGTTGGGAATTGCTATTGTCTTCTGTAAGCTCTGTTCTTATTTTGATTCCGTAGTGGCAGAGAGCCAGTGTGCTTGTTAGAAACATGAGTGAATTTTGTGCACGAGGAGGTTCAGAGTTTGAATAGTCACTAGCAACTCTCCGGAAGTAATAGTGCTGGCTTCAGAGGTCCTCTCTTTGATGGGCCATTTCAACCTTAGGTGTGGAGTAGGTAGAAGGGCAGATCCCTACTCTACCCTCCACTCCACCCCACTTAGGATCTGTTGGACCCCAAAGGGGTAAAGCCTAGAGATATTTGTGGCTCAGAATATGACCCTCCACCCTGGTTTAGTTACTTTTATTTTGTACGATTTCTCACACAAGTTACCTGTCTCTTGCTGGGACCTGGTGACTAGCGTGAAATAGCGCTGTATGGTGTACTGAGCAAGTCGCAGGTTTTCCAGCCCACGCACAGAGTCATTCCCTCGCAGCCAGATGAACTCTACATCGTTTCCATCATACCCCCCTGACAAACACAACAGTGCCCTGGTCAGTGCAAGAATGTTGGAGATTGGATTGTTCAGAAACATGCTATCATGTGGAGGTAGTATGAGTTTTACCCTGATAATGCTAAGTGCAAAGATGATTCCATGTAAAACTTGGCATGACTTCTCAAGAGCAGCTGCAATGTCTATACAGAATGTAGTTGCCTGCCTGGTCCATTTGCCGTCACTTGAGAACTAATTGTATATGCTAAACACTGTCTAAACCTGGTGGATGATAAGCCTTAAAAATGGCTTCCTTCATTATGGAGGTGATATTTATTGAGCATATATCTATGACCACACAAAGTCCTATATTCAGGGCAGTGTAAGCTTTGATAGAGTTTCCAGGGAGTTTAGGACTGGCACGCTCACGTTAGTATAAATAAAAAACCAAAACAAAAGTCCTGCAGCCACTTTACTGACATCTGTCAAAATACATGGTGGATAAGTCTCTTAAATTGTTTTGGTAATATAGCTGATGCTAGTAATAATAGTTACCTTTTCTGAAACCTTTGAGTTGTCTCTTAAATTATGTCTTGCAAATTTGCAAGGTAGACATTTCTGTATTTCTTCAAGTCTAAGGTGGATATTATTTTTTTTCTGAAATTGGGATGTATCTTACAGTCTGCACGGAAAATAGACCTTGAATTTTTCCTAAAATGTGATTTTTCAATAAATACTAGGCTTAGAATTGAGGAATTATAATATTTTCCCCATTTCATTCTTGAAAACTCTCGGATTCTGAGGGATCGCACAACTTCTTCAGGATAACAAGGCAAGTAAGAAAGCTAGCACAGTACCTCAGGAAAGTTTAATCATAAAGCCCATGGATAATGCTGATAACAATTGTAATATCTATCATTTAGCAAGCAATTGCTTCCTAAGTGCTTTACAACATTATTGTTTCATTTAATTCTCAACTATCTCTTTGAAAAGATATGTGAATGGTTAATAAGCACACAAAAAGATGTTCAACATCATTAGTCATTAGGAGAAGTCAAAGCAAAACCACAATAAGATACCACTTTGCACCCACCAGAATAGCTGTAATAAAATAGGCAGATGATACCGAATGGGGAGGTCAGGGAGAAGAAGGAATTTCACTGTTGGGGAAGTAAATGGTACACTCATACTGGAAAACAGTGTGGCAACAACTTACAAACTGAGACATAAATTGACCATTTGACCCAGAATGTCACACTCAAGGTTTCAGTCCAAAAGAAATAAAATACTTGTAACACATTGAATGTTCCTAGTAGCTTTATCTATAATAGCCAAAAAATACTAATAGACCAATTGTTCATAAACTGATGAACACACACACACACACACACACACACACACACACAGATGCCCATGCATGGGTGTCTTCTTTCAAAGGTCTGTGACATTGCAAAAAAAAAAAGTACTGATAGCATTTTACAACATGTATAAACTTGAAAAAGGTTTCGGCAATTGGAAAAAACTAGATGCAAGAGATCACATATTGTATCGATTCCATTTACATGAAATATCTATAAATGACAAATACAGACAAAAGTAAATTAGTGGTGCCTGGGAGCTGATGGTGGGGAGGGAGGGTGACTGCAAATAGGCACAAGGGGTTTCTCTGGGGTGATGAGAGCGCTGTAACGGTACAACATGGGGATGACTGCCCAACTCATGCGTTGGATTGTATACTTAAAATGGGTGAATTTCGTGATATGTAAACCATACCTCAATAACATGTCTTAAAAAACAACTCATGGAGCCAGAGGTTGTTATGTTTTTCACTTCACTGATAAGAAAACTGAAGCCCACCAAGGTTAGTTATCCAAGCTTATGCAGCTAAGGATGGGCAATGGGATGTATGATATTCAATACAAAAAATATTGCTTTTGTTTTCAGTGGCTATTGAGAAATATAATGAAGCATTGGCTTCAGTGTGTGGCAGTGAAGGTCGAGTAGGGCTTTTCTTCCCCTTCCCTAAGGCAGATGTCATTAGAGGACTTTTCAGGGGAAAATTGTCCTTGAGCATTGCTTTCCTTTGGAAGCACGCAAGAATATACAAAGCTACTGTCTAGCTGGGATCCCAAATAAATGAAGATCGTCTATTCAAATGAGAAATACACGTTCCTATTTGGACATTTTGCTTCCACAACTAGGAAAGACTCACAATTGTTACATTATTAACCTCTGTCCATGAATGAATGTAGGAAATTGTGGGAAAGTATCAGTTCTTTTTTTAGAGATGGCATATAGATAAACCCTTAGTGAGGTTTCTGTACCCAAATATCTGGTAATAAACATTCAGTGAATACTTCTTCTGCTCATTTGGGATGGTGTTTGTGCAAGCAGAGAGCTGAAGTTTCCAGGAGAATCTTGCTTCTGGGATTTGAGACAAGCCTAGCCACAACACATGGAGGGCATTTTTTTTTTTTTTTTTCATGAGGGATTCAAATGAATTCTGTTTTCAATAACCATAAATTTTATTTTGCCACTAAACAGCTTCATTGCTTCAAGAAGATTCCATGTGTATTTAATCAATAAGATAATTAATCTTTAATTAAATGCCTGCCTCTGAAAAATAGCATCTGCCTCATAATATCATGTTTTCTTTTTTTGTCTTTTTGATCAGGGTCTTGCTCTGCAGGTCAGGCTGGCCTTGAGCTCACTTTGCAGCCCAGGCTGATCCTTCTGTCTCAGCCTCCCAAGTTCTGGCACATACTCCATACCTAGCTCTTCTGATGCTTTACTGTCCATTTGTACAGAGTGTCATCATCTCCAGAGCTTAACTCAGCAGATCCCAAAAAACTATGCTTTGGTGCCTTGTTAAGTTATGTCTGTAGTGTTATTTTCCTATCAGCAGTGCTCAATTTTAAAGGACATTTCAGAGTGGCTTAGGAAAAACACGGGAGATTGCTTATCAATTCCAGGGAATTAATTGGCATACAGTAATTTAGAGTTAGTTTTATTTCCATATCATAAAATGGCCAGGTTTGGCACTGCTGTTCTAAATTATGTTTATCAAGTGATTTCTTTTAAGGATTCGAGGTATGCATGTGATGCCAATGATTATTTGTGCATCACCCTCCTTTTTTTTTTTTTGGTAGCTCTAGGTATTGAACCCAAAGTTCTACACTCTCAGATTCCATTTGCCTTTTCTAATTTCCATTGTGTTTCTTCTTGCTCCTATATCTAAGCCAAGTACATTCTACACTTGCCCCTTTAGCCAACTTCAACTGATCTCTCATGTCTGATTTCAAGTGAGGCTTCCTCTAGGAAACCTCTGACTCCCTTAAGCTTCCATAGTGTCATTAAGTTTTAAAGTTACCACTTATTCTTTCATAATTATTTAAGTTCTATACCCTCTGTGGGAGGTTAGGCTCCTGATGACTGGCACATCATTCTTATCTCTGTGTTGTAAACATCAGCGTCCAATACAGAGTATAGTAGTCACCTCATTGTTAAAAGAGTAAGTTGAATGGAGGTAGTGAGGCCGACAGATGGGACACAACTACCCACAGAGACTTGTGAGAGGCTCTAGTGGGAAAATATGTAGAATCAGATTATCAAAACCAGTCTGGCTGGGGAAATAGCCCAGTGGCATAAGTGCCTGCTTGGCAAGTGCAAGGTCTTGAGGCAAGTTCAATCCCCAGTTTAAAAAAAAAAAAAAAGAGTCGAAATATTTTTCTTAGGACACAAATGGAAGGAAAACATTGGCCTTGATCCTAAGTAATGGAAAGGAACTGATGTGAGAATATGTTTGGGACAATTGTGTAAAAATCACATGGTGATTCAGTTTAACATTCTGGCAGGATTTAGGGAACTCCAAACAGACATCATGTGGTTACTCAATTTGGGAAAAAATAATGATAACAAATGGGCACCAGGGAAACTGAAAAGGAGTTATTAGAAGCTTTTCATTATTCCCTTACTGCTCTTTAAAATCTCTTTTTAGTGTATTCAGGAAAAATATATAGCTCAAAACACAAATAAGCCACTGAAACAAAATCCTTGCCTGACCCTCCAGCCCAGTGGAAGGGCTGAGTTAGAGGATCTTCAAACTTTGTACTACTTTATCTGAATGCCAGTCTAGAGTTGCTATTTCCCTAACTGGCTCCTTTGAGAAAGTGCTAAGTAAACCATATGAGTGTCAGTTTTTATAACCTTATGGTTATTTCCCCAGCCAAACTCATTTTAATAGTCTGGTTCTACATATAAGGTTATCTCAGGATTGTGTGCAATGTATCCAGTGGAGTGGCTAGGATGGGGTATGTCTAAAAATATGGTGAATGTTTACATTTCAAAATCTTTGTTACAATAAAAGCCATATTGCCATTAATCCTCATCAAAATAGCCCTTGTCACCTCAAACACAGTTATTCAATAAGTCTGGCCACTTCCAGGAGCATTTTGGGAAGCTCTTCGAGTGAGTATCTTTAGTTGTGCTGTGATAGCTACTTGATGTCCTAAATCAATTCAGAAAGTTTACCCTTTGTGGTCATTTTGACTTTAGTGAAGAACGAGAAGTCACATGGTACCAGATGAGGTAAACGAGGTGAAGGGAGACACACTGCGACGTTTTCATGAGGCTATCTTTCTGTGGGACAGCACTCAGGAGCCATACTGACCCTACTTTTTCATCACACCTTGTAAAGGTGCTCACAAAAGACTTTCAGAATTACTTCAGAAAGCAACAAAAATGATAAGTATATTACAAGTCAGGGAAAGTATTTTGAGGGCAATTAATGAGTGTGTTTTTTACTGTAATCATTTAAAAATTAAATATTCAGGGTAATTTTCAATCACCTCTTGGTAATCAGCAACTGGTACATGGATGCCATAGGATTTACAGGAACAGAATGTGTGCTTTTGTTATCATCATCATTGTTAAAGATGGGAAAATCATTTGGTCAAGGAGGTCAGAGCCACAGGAGATCGAGGTTATAATATATTTTGTTGCCTACTATTAGAAAAACTTCCCTATTAGCTTTCCTACTTCTTCTGTAGTAGTCAAGTTTTCCCAGAAAACACAATTCTTTTGCACTAGCAAAAAGAAAAACACATTGGGGCTTGGGGATATAGCTCTGTGGCACAAATGCCTGCCTGGCAAGTGTGAGGTCCTGAGTTTGATTCCTGGTATCACAAAAAGAGAAAAGAAATCCAATAAAAAAGACCAGCACTTTTGAAGCCTTCTAGAACTCAAAGGACCGTCCCTAAGTGCTTTTTCTGACAAATGGAAATCACAGTGGTAAAAGGTCCATGCGTTCTTCACCAGCTTTTGTAGGGACCTGTATTTGATTTGATTTTGGTAGAGCAAGAGTGAATAGGTAAAGATCCATGCATCTTTATCGATTGATGAACAACCTGGAATCACAGACCCTTTGAGGTTGAGTAGCCAGATAGATGGCATAAATAAAACATCGCAAGTTTGAGTATCAGGTGCTAGTCTTAGATCCATTTTCATCAAGATGTCTATAAAATAGAAATACTTAAGAAACAAGATTCTAAGGTTACATATGTTTGGGAAATGCTATCAGTCTTCTTTGGCATTTCACCTGGAATTAGATTATTAGAGCTTCTAAAGAGCTCTGAAGTAAAGAAGCTTAATATTTTAGACTTTGTGGGCCATACAATCTCTGCCACTCAACACTGCTATTATAATGTTTTAATAGTTATTGACAGTATGTAAATTAGTAGGCATGATGGTGTTCCAATAAAACTTCATTTATGAAACATATGATGGACTGGACTTGGTATATAGGTATGGTTTCCCGACTCATGGAATAGACCACTAACTACTTTTAATCATTTCCTTGTCTTGTCTACTTGCAGGTGGGTATGTTTAATACTAATGCATCCTGGGCCACCCAAAAAGTCTATCTTAGAAAGATTTTTTTTCTCAAAAAGAATCTAAATTTGCACAGGAGTACAAATAGAAGGCTGAATCCATTGTGAATTAACAGTAAATAAGAAAGGTCACTAGTTACTGAACATTGTGAATACATAGATCCAGGTCACCCAGGAAGTCACCTCTAGCAACCTGTAGGATGTATACTCACAGCTCTCCAACTGCAACTTGCATGTCTGTGTGTCCATGGGGTATTTAGACAGATCCATGTTACATGCGACAGTTGTTGTGATTCTAAGGAAAGAAAAATGGGTATTACAAGAGCACTGTAAAAAAATACACATCATCTTCCAAGGAATACTCCAAAAGGAGTTTTCCCTTGGATTCTTACAAGAAATAATCAGAATTCTAGTGGTTTTCTGTGCTAAACAAACCACTGAGACTCAGTTAAAGCTGGGTCCAGAGTGGAGGAAATCGGAAGCCTAGCAACTCAGAGGCAAGATTTTCAACAATGTCATAGAACAGACTCACTCACTGGCTTGTTTGAGGTAATCTTTTACATTGCTTTTCAATGCAATCTTTACAACAAGTCTATGGGTTCTGACACATCAAGTTTTGTTTACAGAATTCTAGTGTTTCTCTCACTGGCATCTTTAAACCTTTTGTGGAAAGATTAACATTAAAAAGAAACCAAGTATTTTTTATCTGAACAAGAGGAAAGATGGCTTAAAGGCACCCAGGAATCAGAGAGGCTCCATATATCACAGGCTCAAATGTAAATATTTCTTTGAGCCCCTTGATTGAGAAGGGCTACCTAGAGAATTGGTTCTCTGAGAATCACTTTACCATGCTCAGCCATCCAGATACTCAGAGGCCACAGAAGGCCCCCCTACTGCTCAAACTAGCAGCAGACCTTGGCATCATCCACATGGGTGCTGGTTTTCCAGGCTTCAGAATGCAAGAGTTGCACAGGCAAGGAAGGCTTTCATCCAAGTATCATAAGAAGATCTTGGAGGCCAGGAAATGTGTCCCTGGGGGTGGGAGTAATATGAGGAGCTTGAAAGTAGAATCCAAAGTTGCAGCAGAGAACCCAGGAAGCTGTAGATGTCAATAACAGGAAACTTCTGTTTCCTTTCTGTTTTCTTTCCAAGAAAAGCTGCAGGCATTGAGCAAAGGCGGTGCAAGACATAAGTCATGTAGGGTGAGAGCGCAAGGCAACAGAAACAGAGTTTCCCAAGTCTTTTGGACTCCATATCTTGTTCTACATGCTGAACATGAAATCACAAGATTTAATGTTTTCCCTGTGAAGTTTCCATCTTGATTTGGTCCAGTTCCTCTTATTTTCCCATTTTAGAATGGGAATATTTACCTGTGTCATTATATGTTGGAAGAATGTAATTTTCTTTTGGATTTTACATAAGCTAAGAGTTTGTCTTCAGTCTCAGAGGAGACTTTGGAGTGGGCTATTTAGCAGTGTTGGAACTGTTAAGACTTTGGTGACTTTTGAAGATGGACTAAGCTCCTTTTGCATAATGAGCCTTTGGGAGGCTGGGGTGTAGTATTATAGCTTAGCTCGCAAATGTCCCACACAAATCACACATTGGGAGGTTGTCATGACTTACATCTAGATCTTCCCTCCAAAATCTCATGCTTATAGGCTGCACAATGCCTTCATCATGAGTGTGTGATACTGGATTAGTCCACTAATTGATTTACTGTAGTTTTGGGTGTGAGTGATGAGCTTACTGAATAGGGAAGACCCACCTGGGGTGTGGGTGGTACCGAGCACAAGAATAAAGAAGGCTTGCTGCTTCCTGCCAGGCATGTTATGAAGTAGAAGTTTCTCCTCTGTCATGCATGCGGTCTTGCCTTGGAGCCATCTGACTATGGACTGAAACATCTACAAACTGTGTCATAAAATAACCTTGTCTCTAACTTGTGGGAGTTAAGTATTTTGTTCCAACAATGAAAAGTAACTAAGATTAGAGGTGAGGCCTGGTTGAAAGGGGCAGTTCATTGGTGGCAGGACCTGGAAGGGTCTCATCTTGGGCCCAGTTCCTCCTTTCTCTCTCTCTGCATTCTGGCTGCCACAAGGTGAGCCACTGTTCTCTGCCAAGCCCTTCCACCATGTTATTATTGACTTGGAGCCACCCAGCCATAGACTGGACCTACTGGAACTATAAGCCAACAGAAATCTTTCCTCTCATAAGTTGCAGCCATCAGTTATTTTGTCTCAGAAACAGTAAAGCTGAATAAACGCCATGCATAAACCTAGGTATGCTCAACTAAATGTCTCACAGTGGATATTTCAGTAAATTTTTGTTTTGTTTTGTTTTTGAGTCACACACTTTTAATAGGCTCTTTTATTTCTTAAAAACTGTGCCAGTTGCTTTAGGAAGTAGATGCAATCACAGCGCCCACTTTGCGGAAGCTCTCACTCTCTCGAAGGAGACAGGATAACAGTGGCTACTCTATCAAGTATTTGCTGTGAGCCAGTTTCTGGTCTAAGTGTGTCATACATATAAATCTTTGAACAGCTCTACAAGGTAGGACATATTATTTTTCTTATTTTATTGCTGAAGAAATTGAGGCCCAGAGGGCCAAGTAAGGACACAGCAAGCATTTGTGCCCTAATCTGACTAGAACCGGGCTATTAACTTTACCTATTGTTTATAACCCCAACACATGACTGATTATACTGTGTGGTGCAATGAAGACAGGTATACATGTACATATACACACATATGTGCTGTTGAGATATGTGGAAGGGGGACATTAATGTTGGCTGGAGTTGGGGGGTCAAAGGAGAGGTCTAGTGAGGTTTCTTGAGAGAGGAGTGGGGGGCCAAACTGTCTTTACAAACTTTGGTGCTGCTGTGGCATGTCCAGAAGTTTTGTTCTTTATTAGCTCTGGCCTTGCTTTGTGACTTTAGACTGATTAAAGGCCAGTCCCATGAATGCTTGGTTCCTGGCCCCTAGCCCCTGGGAGCATGAGTGTACATACTGTTTGCATAACCCCTTGTCAGGACGAGCTCTCCACTGTGGGCTGCCCCACGTAACACCCAGGGAACACTCTTCTTGTTGCACCAATTGTGGGCTCTATAAACAACTAGAAGGAAGGTGCTTTAGGCCTCAGGGCTTTGGTGGTGGGTGTAGGGGAGCCTGAGGCTGTGAGTGGTAAAAGCTTTGGGGCACCGCACCTTGATCTGTGCAAATGTGACTCATACACAGAGATACATTCTGGAGTTACCCTGTCCACAGAGCCCCATGAAAGAGTTCTTTGCATTCACTCTCTTTGGCCCTTCCTTTTTCCCTTGATCACTTTGCTCTGTTCTTCAAGACTCAGAATCCTCTGGAAATATCTTATAACATCGCCCCTAAAGCACTAACTCACAGTTCAACCTGTGTTCCAGCACTCAGAACTTCCTTCGATGTCCTGATGTCCTTTAGGATAGTATACTTTTTATTTTCTAATCTTTATTTTTAATTTTTACTTTTTTCTGTATTTAGGACAGGGTCTACAGGGTGTTCAGCGTCTCACTAAGTAGGTCCGATTCCTAGTGATTCTCCTCTTTACAGCTTCCCAAGTGCTGGGATTATAGGTGCACACCACCATGCCCAGTCTCAACAGGCATCTCAGCACACCCCAGGGGCAGGGCCAGCACAGCATGCCTGGGGATCGAACTCCAGCCACTGTGCTCTGCCTAAGCAGGGACTTTAGTCTGCTGAGTTATCAGTTATTTTCTAATCTTTTTTAAAAATTATGTACTTGGTACAGGGTCTCACTATGCAGCTTGGACTAGTAGTGACCCTCCTGTCACAGCCTCCCCAATTCTGGGATCACAGGCATGCACCACCATGCTCAGTTTTGGGATGGTACAGGGTACTGGGGATTACAAGGCTGGCACAGCATGCAATATCAGGGATCGAACCTGGGTCTTTATGCTTGCCAGGCATGTGAGTAGACTGACGAGCTATCTCCCCAGCCCCAGGGATAGCATACTTCCCTATTTCCTTCTCACTAAATGTCCCAACTCCTCTCTCATTTATTCAGCTCTGTATCTTCAAAGTCCAGCACAATGCCTGCACAGTCAATGCTATGGAGCCAGACTGGATAGAGAAAGGGCCCTTCTGTTATGGAGACAGGACCTAAGTGGGCAGGAGCATAAGTATGGACCTCAGAGAGGTGATTTTAGTGTGAGTCAGAACTGCTCAAGATGTCTGTGCCTTTTCTTCCTACTGCTTCCTCTCCAGCCCCACAGTCACAGGTACCTGCTTACCTGAGAGCATACAGGACTGTGCCATTGGAGAAGAGGCGGATGAGCCTATTTCCAACTGTGACTTCATGGAGGAAAGATGTCTTTGACTCCACAATGTAAGTGTCTGGCACCCACAAGAACTCCACAAGGCGTGCATCCAGAGTGAAGCTCTTGTTGCCTTCAAACACCAGCCGTGGGTCTGTCCAGCGTTGCCGGAGGTATATGGTGGCAGTGTAGTCCTTGAGGGGAGGCAGGGAATGGAAATGAATGAGTGTGGTAGTGGTGGGTCTCCAAAGAAGAAGAGGAAGAGGAGGAAGAAGAAGAAAAGGAGGAGGAGAAGGAGGAGCAGGAGGAGAAAGAGCCATATTTTCCTTCCCTCCCAACTTCCACTTAGGTCAGAAATACACAGACACGGGTGATTGTAGACATAGACAAAGCTATGTCATGGGTAGTTGCTTATGATAATATGGGAACAGACTGTTTTATTTATTTATTTTGGATAATTCCCACTTCCTCAAGGGCCCCATATTCAGGGCCTTGAACTACATTCCAGGTGAACTTATGGTCCCTGAGATCACAGAGGGCACAGAAAATTCCTAAGGTTCAGACTCATTTGTCCAGGACCTACTGGAAGTGCACAGTGGGTCTTCACTGCCAGCGGCCTTCAGGGCACCCTCACCTTCCCGATGTCATCTTGTGAGAGAGGTTGACTGAGAGCAGTCTTTAGATCATAACTTCCACCAGTTCATCTCCCCTCCTGTGTCTTCCCCTCTTCAAGGACCACCAGAGAGCCAGGCTTCCCCACTACTACTACTACACCTTTATTCTTTTCCCAGATTTTAGTTCTAAATGTTCCTACTTCCTTCTCTGGTTTCTCTCCTTCTGGCCTCTGAGTCTACTTTCCTCCCTGTTTTCTCTGTTGCAGAAAACCTCTTCTATAAGAATCCTCCTCTGCCTTGATTTGGGGGCGGGACCTCCAGCTTCTGTTATTTCAATGGGGGGGTGTAAGTCTTTTCACTTTGGGGGTAGCTAGGAAGTATATCCCCATTCAACACAAGGAGAGGGACAAAAAGACAACACGTACCATGTTACTCTCTGAAATACTAGAAATACTTGCGATGTCCAGAGTTAGTGCTATCTGAACCGGTTCTCCTAAGAATGAAGAAAAACCAGAAAGACAACCTTGAAACACAAACCTATCTTTCTCTTCCCAGCCATCCATTTTAATCCCTGCCTCCCCCTTAGGACCACACAGCCACCACATACATTAGTACCCTGGGAAAATCTCTTAAATATTACAAATGTAAGGCCAGGCACAGTGGCACACACCTTTAATCCCATCATACTGGGAGCCTGAATCAGGAAGATTTCAGATTTGAGCTCAGCCCTGGCAAATTAGTGACTTAGAAAGACTCTATTGTGAAATAAAAATAAATAAATAAAAAGGGCTGGAGGTGTAGCTCAAGGTAAAAGCCCTGAGTTCAACCCTTGGTCCAGAAAAATCTTCAAAAGTAACCCTTAATTAGAAAATAATCTAAGCTATAAAAAGCAAGGTCAATTTCTAGTTTCTCCCTCTTAAGAGCAATTATTGTATAAAGTATGCCTCCTTTTTGTATGAAAAATGTGTATACATACACTGTTGTCATAATACATAAGAGGCCACACCATTATTAATTAAGAATGCAGCAGTAAAGTATTTGCTACTTCATTAACAGAGGACATTTCCTGTGATAGTTGCAAGGGATTAATCTCACAGCATGTGCTCGAGATACGATAATCTGATTGTGGGCAGCTGCTTTTTCCCCTTGGCTTGACTAAGTAAATTTTGTACAAGAGGAAACTGAAGACTGCTCATGGCTGAGTTCTCGTGGGTTTCCTGACACTTCCCTTCTCTTCTTGCACTCTCCAGGAACCCTAAACCATTTAGAATTCCAGAACCTTCTTCTGTGCACATACCATTAGGCCTCAACACTAGAGCCTTGGCTGATGGATCAGACTGCAGAGAACCAGTCTTAGCTCTAGAAATGGAAATGTGGTGGCTACCATTCTCAGATGCCCAGCAAGGCCAGGCCAGGACCACTTGTTCCTCTTTAGGGCGGGGATGTGGAGGAAAGATGCAGAGGGTAGACCATGTGAGTTTAGACCACAGCTTTGCCACACCTTAGCTCTGTGATTTGGGAAACTGGGAAACGTTACTGAATTCCAGAGCTGCAGTTTTCTCCCCTGCAAGTGCAAATAATAGTGGAGGTACAATACGGTCAATAAGAGGGTTAAAATGAGGCTAGAGGAGGGATAGTATCTCTGCGAAGTGACAGCAAGAGAGAATGTATCTGAAGTCCCTTCCAGAATGTGCTTGGAAATGCCACCAGCATGTGGCTTCCAGTGTCCTCTCATCAGTGGCATTTACCTTTCATCCTCCCAGTCTTTCATAAACCTAGCTAATGCTTTCTCTGCTCACCCTGTTAATACATGCAATAGCATGCATTTGTGATCAATAATATTCAGTGTGGCAATGTATTAAGTAGGAAGAGAAGAGGTGGACCACCATAGGAAGTTTGGAAACATCTGTCAGGAATTAGACAAAGCAATTTAATTGTTAATCTAAGGAAATCAAGCCATAGATTGTAGGTAGGAATTTAGAAATGAAGTTTTAGAGCCAGGACAACCATATAAGATATTTGACTGTCAATCTTTGGTGAGAAAGAGGGGATCTTCGAGGGCAGGCAAACCCTGAAAGCTATTGAATGGCTTTCCATCCCTCTAAGCATCAAAGTGCAGCATCTTAAATCAGAACTTGGTGTCAGAGACAAGTGTTTGAATTCCGTGTTGCCTATGTAGCAACCTTGTGACCTCAAATGGATTGCTAAACCTCTCTGTGCTAGTATATTACTTGTGCTGCTATGGTTTGAATGTCTGTTCCCTCCCAAACTGGGGTTGAAATTTAGTTGCCATTATAACAGTGTTAAGAGATGATTAGACTGTGATGTCTCCTCCCTCTGGGTAGGACTGGTACCAGTGCAAAAGGGTGAGTTCACCCCCTCTTGCTGTCTCTGGTTCTCTTCCTCACTGCTATGTGATAGTGCAGCAGGAGGGCTGTTGACAGGTGCTGGCGCCTTGATCACAGACTTCTCAGTTTTTAGAACTGTGAACCAATACGTGTTGGTTCACTGTGAATTTCCCACTCACCAGTATTGTTATAGCAGCACAAAACAGACTCAGATAAGGGCTTGTCATGGAGGCATGATTTGGGAAGATACAGCATCTATTTTCAGTGTTGGGAATACAATGTATTGTCAATCAGTTGCCTCCCTGAAGAGTGCAGAGTAGAAAGCACAGAAGAGCTCTGTCCCACTGTGTACGTGTGTGTGCATGCATGCGTGCATGTGCGAGTGTTTCTAGATAGTCTAGTGCAGTCTTGACTGTGGTGGTGTCTTTTACTAATTAGAACTAGTTCTTTCTCCTCCCGGCATGAGAAAGTAAACTGTGCCACTAGGGGGCAGCGTCTTCCTAACAAAGAGGTCAAAATCAGCTCCTCCTGGGTCATGTTCCTTAGAGCCTGTTTGCAAATCTTCGGTCTGTGGCAACCAGTCCCTTAATATTCCTATTGAGGTCTTGTGTGTTTAGGACCTTGGCATGTCAGCAGCTGGATATACAGTTTCAGGAGTGATGGGGCCTCTGTGGGCCACCAGGCTGCCAAGCCAATGCGACCTCATTTAGGAGGTAGAGTACAAAAAAGGCACCAAGCAAAACCAAGAACTCTGTGCCCTAGTTTTTTCCCCAAGGTGGGACTGGGCCTTACATTCACTTAGGTCCCCTCCAGGCTCCCTCTTCTCAGCATGATCTCCCTGCTCAAGACTCTGTGACTTGTTGGCTAAAGAGCAGACAAACAAACAGGGCAAGGTCCTTGTGATGGTTTGTGTCTAGTTGTCCCCCCAAAGCCTCATGCAGTCTGGAGGCAGCTTCTGGAGTTTGTGATTGATTATTGTTGGTGTGGATGCTGACCTGCCCTGGGGCAGATAATTTGCATTACAATGTAAGGAGGGACGAGAAGCTAGCTGCTTGAGCTGCTGCTACTCCTCTTGAGCACTCTCTTTCTCTTTGCCTCCATCATGAAAGGTTGCCCTCTGCTATGTGCTACTCCGCCTTGGACTCAGCTGAATATGGACTGAAACCTCCAGTAACTGTGAGCTACCTTTCCTTCCTTCAATTTGGGAGTTGGGTATTTGTCCCAGCAATGAGAGAAGAGTAACTAAGACAGTTCTGATTTAATTGTCTGAGGCTTGAGAGGCAAGAGCATTTGTTGAGTGGACCTCACCAAGTTATTCACAGCTTGCCATTAGCATTGAGCAGGGCCAGGGAAACCCAGGGGGTGTGGAAGTTCTCTAAATTCCTTGACCTAAGAACTTAAACCCTGACTGGGTGGCCATGTATCTCTTAGATCTCCAGGTAATGTGACTGCTCTGGAATCTATCAGCACCCTTGCTCTGAAGCAGTGTCACCCATGGGCTGTAGCCAACTGAGGTCTGGAACACAGCAGGGGCACTAAACAGTGCTGTTACACCCAGAGGCCCAGAGCCCTGTACTAAATAAAAAATAAATTTAAAAAGAAAATCATTGGCACTAATTGTCATTATTATCAATCTTTAAAAGTGCCTGCATCAGAACACAGACTCAACCTCCCAAAGCCTCTGAAGCTTCTCGTGTATTTTGTCTCTGCTCCTATCCTTTTGAATTGAAGTGTTGATCCTGAGGGAGAACCTACCACCAAAACTGGGCCTGAGGAATTTGTTGTATCCTGCTGTGAGGTTCTCAAAGCCAGGCAGGGAAAGCTTGTCATTTCTGCTGGTCTCAATATTGAACCTGTTCCCTTGGACACAGATTCTGAAAAAGAAGATGGTTTTTGTTGCATTTGTTTATGAATAAACATGTGTAGAGATGTCAGTTGAACTTGTCTTTGCATGTGTGTTGTGCCTATCCACCACCAGTGACTTCCCTAGGGGAAAATCTTGATTTTTAGCTGGTGAATTGGCATCTCTGTGCATTATCCATTTGCCATAAATCAAAATGTCATAATCATCTAAGAAATCTGCCAAGTGTCTTCTCAAAAGACACCAGTGATTCAGTCACCTACAACAATTTTGGAAATGTTCACGCTGTACATGGAATAAATGGGAGGAGGGAATTGTTCAGTGCTTAGGAAAGTAGACGGACTGGGTTATAAGTCAGTAGAAAATACTGCTACCTCTCCCACCCCACAGCTGTACACAAAGCAAATCATCCAAGGTCATTTTGAAGTAGGAGAGCTTACCTTGGTGTAAAGAGGCTCAGACACATGAAGATCATGTGGAGAGTATAGCTCATGTTGAGGAGCTGTTCACAAAGAGGGGTTCCTGTAGGAAAAACCTGGGGAGACAGGTGGGGCATGGAGTCAGGAGAGAACCCATGAGCTCACCTATGGCCAGCTTGGCCACTGCTTGTGGAGTCAGCAGGAGCAACATTTTCCCAACATGTACGGGAAACACTTTTTCCATACTTGTTAGTACAACCTTTGCTTCCTGCCTGTCAGTCAGGAAAAGTTTGTCATTATGGAGGATAAGGTTTATTTAATTCCACCCCAAATAAAGGCTGAGACATTAATTAGACAATGGTGCACTGTAACCAGCAACTGTAACCTAACCTACATATTGGAGAACCCCTAGGTTGTTCTTACATGCACCTTGTCTTGGCACCCCAGCTCTACATTCTCCTGGTCCCAGCCCATTGTTTACTTGAGTTGAGGGCTAGGAAACAGGTTGTTTTCTCCCCTTATGCTCCTAGTTTGCTTGTGTGGTGGGAAGGTCAGACAGGTCTTAAGGGGAAGAAACTGGGTCATGGAGAGGATCCTGTACTAGTGGATACTGCAGGCAATTTTGAAGCCAGGGAGGGCTGCATTCCCCTCAGCACTCTCTTCTTGTAGTAGCACTGGCTTCAGAACTGCACTTTTGCTTGCCTTAGGACATTTGCTTCTCTCATGACCTTTCTGTCCTGATCCTGGGAGCCCTGCAACAACGTGGCTGGTGTGATGTGTAGTGGGGATAGGCATGGTCAGGGTTGGCCTCCTCAGATGTGAGCACTTCTGTCAAGTGTCCTCCTGAAAGCAGGAGGCAGCCAGCCAGGCCAGCCTCTGGTCGCTTCTGCTTGTGGCGGCAGAGCAGGGGTTCTCAGGTTCAGATGCCCTTCCTAGACACACCCCATCTGGGCCATACCATTCTCCCTGGTAACCTCAGGAAGCCAGGCCACTTTCTAGAATCTAGCCATTCTGGAGAATTGGTCAGATCCAGTCATTCGTAAAATAATATTATGGTACTTACAAGACCAGTACAAGAATGAACTTCAAGATGTAAATCCCAATGATGCGTCAGTGTAAGTTCATAGGTTAGAACAAGTGGAGCCTTCTGATGTGGGATTAAATAGTGAGGCAGTTGTAAGTGTATGAGGGGGCAGGGCTCAGTTTTACTGGGAACCTACAATTGCTTTAGAAAAATAAAGTCTATTTGAAAAGACAAAATACAAAACAAAGGAAATGTGAGTGCCTCCCCCACTTGTCCTCTCCAATGTCATAGTTCAAAGATATTCACTTACAATTATTTTATCCAGATGCGCACATGCGTGTGCAGACACACCCTCCCCATATTTAGATATGCTTTTATATAAAGAAAAACTTAAAAAGCAAAATGAGGGTGATACTATGCAGTTGTTTGTTATGTATTCTTTCTCACTTAAAATATCATACACACTATTGAATACTTCATGTGTATTTACCTGTGCTACACACCTCTAAAATCTTCACGCTTCTTTGGCTACTACTATTCTCATTTTACAAAGGAAAATCTGAGGCTCTGAGAGGAGAGGACACATTCCTAGAGTTACCTAACAAGAGCCAGGCAAAATTAAATCTAAGCATGGTGACCCAGGTCCTTAGTCACTGCCCTATGGAAGATGTTTTTTTCTTAAAAATTAGCAACACCTTTCCAAGTCAGCTCTTCCAGATTGGCTTCATTCTTTTCTGTGGTTTTGATGTATCTTATAAGTTAAACATGCTACTATTTGCATATCTGTGGTGTGCTAATTATAAAGACTAAATTAAATTTCCAAAGTTTTTATTGTTACAAAATCAGTAATCAACATGCTGGACATATGTAAACCCTTATAATTCTGCACTGTGTCCTGTTTTTCCATCTCAGCCCTTTCCCTCTTCTTCTTTTTTTTTTTTTGGTGGAACCAGGGATTGAACTCAGGCCCTTGCACCTGCCAGGGAAGCGCTTATTCCATTGAGCCATCTCCCCGGCCCAACCCTATCCTTCTTGCTCATCAAAAATACCAGCTGATGGCAGAGGTTCAACCTAGTGGTACAGCACTTGTCTAACATGCACAAGACTCTGGATCTGACCCTCAGCACCACAAAAAATAAAATAAAAAGTCACATATAACTTCAGGTGGCTAGCAAGGCTTTACTGGCCTGGCCTGAAGTTCATTTAAAAAATAGCAGGGTATAAAGTTAGTAGCATAAACCTACCAGTTACCACACTGATACTTTCTTCTTGAGTCCTCCCCTAGTTCCTGTCCTTTCCCTTGTCTCCAGCTCCAAGTTCCACTGTGGGCTCCCATGGACCATGTATGGGTTGCATGAGTTGAACAGGCTCCTCCCATGAACCTGACCCACAGTCCCTGCCCTGTGGGGCAGAGAGACACACATGAAGTCACTTGCGATGTCCTAGACCATGTTCTCATTCTACACCAGAAGCAGAGGCAGGAGCATAGCTAGAAAGTGAGTGATCCACGCTGCTGGGGGAGGAAAGGACAGCACTAGGATGCAAACTGCAGAGACAGTCACTTGATTCTTGCATTTGGCAGCCAGACTTGGGGTTAGGGGCACCCTAGATGTAAGACAGAAGAGTGGACGTCATCTCTATTACTTTCTAAGGAATTCCCACTCAGTCTCTTCTCCCAGTTTTTGGTATCTGCAGCTTCTTAGTCTGTCCTACATAGTCTCCTCATTTAGGGATAGTCCTTAATTTCTCCGTGTCCTAGAGGAACCCATCTTTAATCAGGTAAGTTGGAGAGCTGTATAGTTTCTAGCTCCAAGAGTCCTATTGAATAGACTATTCCCAGTGGCTTGAGAGAAAATGTTTGGGCCATGGGCCACTGATTCCAAGAAGCTTTCAAGGTGCTTCAAGCTCTGAGAAGATTTGCCCAAGCTAGAAGGGAAAACGTAATTCCCTTCCTGTCCCGCAGGCTCTGTTAGGCCAAGCATGTCTCACTTTATTATAGAGGAAGAGACACGCCTGCTAGATGCTAGGTGCCATTTAATTTCATGGCCATGTGGTTCATGGGTGGAATTTCAGATTTGGGGTGGGTTCAGTGGAGGTCACACAGTTATTAAGTGGGCACGACTTGAATCTATGTTTCCCAGGCCCCTATTATTTGTACTGCCCCTAGGAGGAGACTCGGAGCTCTCCACAATAAACTAAATTACAGTTGGCCCTGTTCCTTAAGCCAAACCCGTTTCTGGGATAGAGTGTTGCACCCACTGTATCTCCCACGTGACGATTGTGGGTTGGCACTATCTAGCCACGCAGGCAAGGAGTCATTTAGTAGGTGGAGATTTATGGATTGGTTAGCCTGAGTGAGGGCTCAGGCCGCCAGTTTTAGATACAGGTGTTGGAAATGGCTTTGAGCAGAGAGGTGCACAGTGCCACAAGAGGGCAGTGTCCCGAAGGCTGTTGATGGGGCGGCCACTCAGAGGCTCTGCCAGGAATCATCCGGCTGCTACACCTGCTGATCCACTGTGTGCAGAGGCGCCACTTGTCCCCCGCGGGCTAAAATACCTTTGGTACTTGCTTGTAGCTTGGACTCAGACACACCTATAACCTTTTAGACCCTTAATTTCCCATCTGAAATATGGGAATAAAAAAATACTACATGCACATCAATTTCCATCTCCTCTTTTTTTCCATGTCTTCCATGGGGAACTCAATAATCCCACCCTGAATGAGAGAACTCTAAGCTCAAGTTCTTTGTAATAACCCAGAGTGGGAACTAACTAGTACCACCTTAAGGAAGACTTAGGACACTAGGATCTCCAGGATCACCTGGTCTGAGAGCACTTTCCTCCTGGCCTGGCTCTGAGAAACAGAGGTGACCCCAATGTGTGCAGTCTCCCCTCCTGTTGTAGAATCACCATTGCATAAATCTGGAGAAGCCCAGATGTAACACACCCAGCCTGTTTCTCTTTGGGCAGCTTCCTGGTCACCAGTCACTTCAGCAGAGACAGAGCCATTTGGGAAGCAGGAGGGAGCCTGAAATAGGCCAAGGTGAGGAAAGGACTTGGCGGCATGAATCCTCCGCAAGAAAAGCAGAGAAGGGAAAAGGGTGCAAGATGAGAATTGTGTCTGCTGGTCAGGCTGGCTGGAGGTGCACAGAGGCAAGCGCTGCGGCTGTAGCATCAGATAGGAAGAGCTCTATTGTTGGGTCTGCCACTTCTTGTGAGATAGTATAAATTCTCCTTGAGGCTTAACTTCCTCCATTTAAAAAGGGAATCACTATAATAGGACTAGGGACAGAGTAAGTTCCTGACTGGGCCCCTTCCCTTCCTTTCCTCAGTGCCAAGGAAGGCTTCTATTTGGATCACCTTCCCTTCCCTCCCTCCAGGCAAAATGAGGGGCCAGGAGTTCCCTTACCAGGCAGCTGTTGGGGCTCTATTAGAGCTGGTGCGTGGGCCCTCTAGGCAGGGCTTTCAGGCAGCGCCTTCTCTTCTGGGTCCCCAGGATCCTCCTCATCTCAGTTCTGACCCCTTGGATGTGAGGGTGCAGCACTCTCTGGTGGAGGAGCTCACTCTTTGGCAAAGACAGAGTTGCTGAACCAGCTGAGCAGAAACAGGTGGGTGGAGCCTCCTGCAGCTCCTCCCGCTGACTGGTCCTGGGTGACCCTGGGGATTATCCAGCTCCTGCTGTGGTAACTGCCTGCCAAAAGTTTGATTCTTAGTTCACATCCCAGTCCTGATCCTGGACCCTCACCAGGAGAGCCTCCTGAGATCTAAGGCCCATGAGAGCCACCAAAGTGTACGACCTGCCCCACTGTGCCAGCTTCTTTCTACTTTGGACAACACCTCTCCATCCCAGTGCAATAGAACAAGTCAGCAACATGACCTTGGGCAGGTCAGTTCACCTTTCCCGTCCGCAGCTTTCCATCCATAAAACAAGAACTTGACCATTTTTAAAACTCTGGTTCCAGGGCCGGGGAGATGGCTCAGTAGAATAAGCGCTTGCCTGGCAAACACAAGGTCCTGAGTTCATATCCCCAGTACTGCAAACAAGAATAAAAATATAAACAAAAAACCCCAACCACTCTGGTTCCTACATATCCATTTAGAGAGGTTTTTGTGGATCATTAGAAAGTCTGATCTAGTGAAACAAGACTTTCTGATCCCAGGACCTAGGGATTTCCAGACTGATGAGTTACAATGAGAGACATAGAAGCCAAGGAGCTAGTGGGTAGAATCTCAGCAGACCAACCCAGGGAGAGGTTGGAGAGCCTCGGGGAGAAATTTGACTAGATTTATCCACTTTCCTTCCCTTTTTGCATCCCAAAGCTCCCACAGGGATGCTTAAATTCTCCCACAAGGTCCCTTTCAGAGCATACTAGTTAGAGGGGTCTCTGTCCTCCATGACTAGCTGGACTTCCTAACAGAATTGCTTCGATAGCGTTCTGCAGGCCTTGACCCTTCCCTGTCACCATAGCCAGGTAGTCCTGAAACTCACTCTTGGCGTAGTCTCTGAGTAGAATTTCCTGGCCTCTTGGCCTTACAGCCAAGGGGCTAGGAAAGGAGTCAACTGGCAGGGCAGGGAGGGAGCTAAATCTGTGGCAAGATGTCCAGAGGTGCCGCCTTCCCTTCCAATAGTAAGGCTAACTTTCTGCATAGGCCCTGCTGGTCCTAGAGGTGGGGAGGTGGGAAACAGGGACAGAGGTAGGAGAGAGCCCAGACAGAGCTGTAGGCAGTAAAGGAAGTGGGAGGGAGGGGAGGACCTCCATTTACAATGCACCATAGATGTCTTTGGCCCCAAACCAGCTTCCTTAGTATGCCTCTGGAGCCCAGCCAATGCTGAAAATATTTCTGTGCTGGTCAGTAGGGAGTGGGCACCTGAAGAGAAGCTCTTTCATTCCTCCTGAAAGGCCTTACTTTCACCTGGGAATCTTGAAGGCGGGCACAACAGGAAAGGCTGAGGAGCCAGTTTCGGTTTGTAATGAATAGAGAGTAGTTTGGGGCTGTTCTCAGAATTTCCAGGCCTGTTCTCACACAAAACAAAGGCTCAAGGATGCCAAAAACATTCAGAGCTGAGCAGCTGGGACAGGGTGGGGAGCAGGAGGTGGGAGCTCCAGAACTGTGAGACTCAGGCAAGGGGCCTAGCTGGTGGGCTCCAGGCAAGCTGCTGGATCCCTCCCTTATCTGGGGAAGGAGGATTCCTCTGTATGGCTGCAGGAATTCAGCAGTGGCTGTGAAGTACTACATCTGAAATGATCTGTACCTGGCATTCTGAAGACCCTCAGTTGCTCACCCTACCATCCCACTGTGTTATTAGTTTCTTCTGCTTGAATGCATCTATTCAATGCTGTATATATTTATCTATATATTTATGTTTCTCTGTATGCATGTACTGCGTGTATATGTGTGTGTGTGTGTGTGTGTGTGTGTGTGTGTGTGTGTAAGGGTCACTATCATTAATCTCTTACCTATTTATCTAATATTGGAATCTTCTAATTAGATTGTGTCTCTATGCAGATAATCTGTGTTCATGTTGATGGACTGATTGTACCTGGGGACCAGAGCAGGCCAGATTTAAAGACAACAAAGTAGGTATGATAAGAGGCTTTCTCTTCAGGTCCAAACAACACTTCCTTTTAGTGCCAGGTTTTTCTTAGATTTCTTTTGGATGAACAGAAGAAATTCCCTGATTGAAGTTGGCCAGGGCAACGATGTTCTATTGCCTCGTAGCCTTATTCCTTGGCATCCTCCACACCATCAAAGCCATTTAGTTTCAACTCTGACCCCTGACCTCACGATACCAAGGTCAGTGGGATTTGGAGCTACGAACATAGCTGCGCACAGGCTTCTCACCCCAGGACCTGCCTCCTCACCACATGGCCACACACCCTCTGAGAGTGTCCAGGAAAACAAAGAACAGAGTGAGTCAGCATGCCTTGGCTTGTTCTCTCAACATGACTCACACGGAACACTAAGAAGCTATCGCAATGTTGTGTTCTTGTGTAATATTTTACGCTTTTCGGAGCTTTTTACCGTAAGTGTGCCTTATCTTTCTTGAACAGTATAATGACTGGGAAGCAAGCAGGGCTTGGGAGTTCTATTTTCCTTTTCATTTGGCAGATGATGAAGTTCACCAGCATCATGCAGCTACTCCTCTGGAGTAGGGCCAGCACAGGCCAAAACCTGGGGCTCAGGACTCGCGTTACCTGGATGATTAGCTCACCCATTGCTCTTATTAGACCTTACTCAATTGCCAAGGTAAAACCCAAACCCTCCAGCATCACTTGCTTGGAGTTGACATTTTGAAAAGTCACCAATTTCTTTTTTCAAAAATATTTTATTTGTTTGATACAAGGTATCGCTATGCAGCTTGGGCTTGTAGAAATCCTCCTGTCTCAGCCTCCCCAGTGCTGGGACTACAGGTGTGCACCACCATGCTTGGTTTCTGTGGCCTGCACGGTGCCCTCAGGATTCTGGGTCCTGCACAGCATGTGGTTCCAGGGATTGAACCTGGGGCCTTCTGCTTGCCAGACAGGCCCTTAGACTGCCAAGCTACCGCCCCAGCCCCAAATCTCTACTTTTGGAAGTCACACAGCTGGGAACACATTATTAATTTCCCACTAGCTTTGCTGAGATGAGACCTCCCAGAAGCCACCTAATGGGCTAAGATTGTTCTCAAGTGAATGCCAACCCACACAGTCCTCCAGAGGACAGCTCCTTTTCTCTACCTCTCCCCTATACCCTTGCCAGGCATGGTGTTAAGCACTGGTGGAGAGACGCTGTGGCTTCTCTCATACCTGGTCCTTCCTTTATGGCTTACAATTTAGTGGGGTTTTTTGCGATACTAGGGATTGAACTCAGGACCCTGAACTTGCCAGGCAAACACTTATTCTACTGAGCTATCTGCGTGGCCCTTACAATTTAGAGGTGAACATAGACTATCTACATTTATGTAAAAGCACATATGTAATGACAACCCGTGATAAGAGCTTAGTAAGGTGTAGCGACAGAGGTAAAGCTTCAGAGTTGGCCGGCTCAGATGAAGTAATCTCGAACAAAGCCCCTTGATGAGGAATGGTTAAGCTGATTCCTAGAGGAGAGGAAGGAAGTGGCTGAACAACCAGGAGGGCAGGAGAGACAGGGCAGGGCCTGGGTGCCTAGGGGACACCCTGTGGGAGCCGCTGATCCAGGCACGTATCCTGCCTGGAGGAGAAGCCTGTTCAGCAGTTTCTCACTTCAAGCTCTCAGAAACTGAGTGTTCCCGACCACAGACATCTTTGCTGAGTCTTGGAATCGCTCACTTCTCCCGGGACCCAGCTGTTTCCCTCCATGCATTGTGTGTTGTCCCCCCAGCCTCTTGTCCTGTGCTGCCCAATCTGGAACTCTGTCAGAAGCTGAAAATATTAAAAAATTTCAAAGGTTATTCAAAGATGAATTCAAAGATTAACCTTAATTCAAAGATTTAATCTTATTTCAAAGATGATAAGCTATAGCACTATCAGTGGTTCTGGGGCCCACGGGACAGCAGGAGAAGGGTGGGCTGGACTAACCTAGGGGTATGTGGAGGCCCTAGTGAGACCACCCACTGCCCTGCTGTGCATCCGGGCAGGTGTTCCTGGGAACAATTTGATCACAAAGCGCCTTGTGCCAGCAATGGAACCTGGAGATGAGAGAAGGATGAACAGCATTACCAAGGGCGCAGTGCCACTGTGCCTGCTGTCGGAGCTCATGTCCAGTGCCCCGGCTTCTCACAGCCCTTCAACTCAATAAATAAGTAACAGAGCAAATAAAATGAAAAACCCAAGGTCATTTCCACAGGGTCAGGCTCTCTGTGTTAGTTTTACTTATCAGTTTGATTCCCTGGTCGCTTTCCAGCAATTCAAGTCCAGATACCCCATCCTTCTGCGCTTCCTAAAATGCTGCCTGTGTTGTGCCACCCAGCAGGGCCTCTTATGGCTGAATTTCATTTGCCAAGTGGGCCCTGCCCACCCTGGGTCCTTGGCCTTGCCTCAGGAGTCAGGAGGTGTCTTAGGATGGTGTACTGAGGATATGCGTGTCACAGGGGAAGAAACTGGATCTGTGGTGATGCCACAGAAGCTGGTGTAGTGGTCCTGTTGGGATTAGAGGTGTCAGTCTCCGGGGCAGAGTGGCACAGAGCACAGGCACTGGGGTTAAACTCAGGTTGCCCCCTTCTGCTTCCTCCTCTGCCTCTTCCTCCACACCTGTTTGATTTGTATATGCTGTACCCCTGCCTGGAACAACCTCTGTTTCCCTCTCTTCTCCATGAGGCCAATTTCACATAGGCCCTTAGAATCCCTCTTGTCCCTATCTAATCTCCCCTCCCCCACTAGCCCTTCGTATCTTAGTCTGTGGGGACCACAGCTTTCTTTTCTGCCTGTCCCATACCTGAAAATTAGCCCCTAGAGAAATTGTTTATATTTACCCTTAACACACATCATAGAATCAGACACAGTAGGTATTCAACAAAACAATGAATAAAGGAAAATAATACATTCTATTTTTTCTCTGTCACCTTACTGAACATTTTCCAGAGTGACTTATCTT